GTATTTCAAAACATCTATACAAAAGATATGTGTTTTAATATTACAAGATTGCCTATAAGGGATAAGAAATTTCATTTTTGTCTCAGGACATTGCAGAAAACCTTGATGCTTTTATATTTCAAATTAATACTAGTAATGAATAATGTTATAGTTGGTCTTATGTTTTCCTGGCATGGCATTTTTCCCATCACACTTAAAATACAAGATTTGAATGTATGAGGTGCTATTCAGTTTTGAGCCTTAGATAGCAAATTCTGTTTCTGAAGCATAAAGTAGATATTTGACAGTCAATAGTATACTCGAAATGTATCACATACCTGGGAAAAGATAGGATTTTCTAGCTACACGTGGAAATTTTTCATATATGGCCAAATTTTATTGTCACTGCCATCAATCCACCATATATGGCACTGAAATAATAAGGTTTACTCTGATGTGCAAATATCAGCACATGGAATAGCTTTGCTGAAATTTTGAGGGCTTTTAATCAATTTTGCTACTGTGATTTTTCAATATTGTTGGTAACTAAGAGGAACTTGCATTTCACTAGACTTACGTCTCCTGGTCTCCGCTATAGTGACTTACTGCCAAAGGAGCTTTCAAGCAACTAAAGGTTCTATAGATGTATTCATGCTATTAGATTACTTTAAATTTAAAAATTGAACATACTTCAAGAAAAACAGAATAGAAAATCAGAATAACATATATAGATTAAGAGTATTGTTATAAAACTAGAAAACCCTATGCACATGTTTCACAGGAATAAAGATGCAACATTAAGAAGTTGTTTATCTTTTGGAAATTTGAACCTGCCTGTTTTCTTAAAAGTAGCAGTAGCTTAATTAAGTTGCTTTAAAACCAAAAATAAACTTTTAAAAGTATGCAATCTAGTTCATCCAGAGAACTGTAAACTTTATGTAAATTGATTTATTTCCTGTCTGGTTTACTATGACTGCATTGTCGCATATAAGCAGACGAGCCGCATGTGATTTCAATAATCAGCAGGTACAGGACACAGTATATATGCAGTGACATGCAGATTGGTGTGGGTAAATTGTCTTTGGATTGATAAGGTGTCCAGCTCTTTAAACTGGGAGAGTGAAATTGCCTCCCAGTTTTGAATGCTCCAGGCACTGCAGCCCTCAGTTTTGTAAAATCTCCATGTGGTTTTGGTCTTGCTGTAAGTGAGGCTGTATCAAGATGCCTCAAGACTGTGGAAAAGGACAATTATATTCCTTCATTTATAAATATTTTTAAAGGAAATGCTTCTTGTCCAGAGGTGTTGTGGTTTAGGGCAAAATTTGGGAGGAATTTGGAAGTACACAGATTTTCCTTGTACCAAAAGATGCTTTTGTGAAAAGCCTGAAGTCATTCCTTACAGCAAGAGAAAGTTTATTTGAACAACTGACAAAAAGAAATATGTCCACAGGTTATAACCACCAAGAGCAAAGGCAAAATCAAAGGATGGTACAGTGTCTCTTTAGAGTGTTTATGCATTTAACTGATAGCATTTCTCTGTATAACGACCCATGAAGACGTGGCTGAGAGATGGAGGAAGTCATATAGATAGCATCCTCATCATAAGCTCCATACTAAGAAAGAAATATGTCTTTAACTAACAGTAGGTTATACTTGGATCTGTCACTGAAATGATTACTCAAATCTGTCAGGATTAACATACACTTTCTCATTCCCATCAGAAGTGGTAATTGGAAACTTTCAGCAAGAAAGAGCATATTAATCTGTAGTCAGATAAATCCAGTTTGCCACCACTTATTTCACTTATCCCACTTAGAGGAAGATTTGATGATGCCTTGTTTTCTCGGATCTCTTTTTTTTTTAACGGAACCACAGCCAACAAAATCTATTTTAGAACTGGCTTAAGGTAAAAGTAATTTCTCATCTGAGCTGTACTCCCTCAAATGATAGATTTAGGATTTCAAGACTAGTACTATTACCAGTCATTTCTTAAAGTGGAGACCCTTACCTTGAAAGAGGTAAACAAGTCACAAACCTTCATATAAACTCTAAATGACCAAAAAGTGATTTACAGTTCTGCCACTGAGTGTTTCACCGAATGGTCGTGCTAAACATAGTTGTTTGCATAATACATTCTTTCGGGATTTGACAAAACAGTTTGGATTAAATAGAGATTGTCCCATTCTTAGGCACAAAGTTTGGCCCAAAGCATATGTTTCTGGAGGTCAAAAGATGCTTAATAATTTGTCTTATTATATTCAGATATGCATTTTTATTTCTAGTTGAAAGCATGACATGAGAAAAGCCCATTATTTAAAATGAACTTACTAGAAACACCAAACAGCCAGAAGATTCCAGTACAAAATAATCTATCTTCTCTGTGAATTTTTCCCCTTCTTTTTTATGGCCACCAAAAATACACAGCTGCCTCTAGACTTCCTAAAAAATGCTGAGGAACCTCCCGTTTGTAGCAAACTGCTCCATCATTCCAGTTAGTGTGGGAGGCACTTCTCATCCTTTTTCTCAGCAGATGTCAAATGCATTGATGGTCACCTCTTGTACATGCTTTGTCACATGACAAAGCATTTTAAAAATACAAAAAGTGGAATAAAGTCTCATATATCCACTCCTTAGTGTCAGAACCAAGAAAATGCATAAAAATTATATTTTATATGTTCACTCTCTTACAGGAGGATTAGAATTTATGGTTCTTAACTGTATATTCAAAATCTACAAACAAGTGGTTATTTGTCCAAAACTTTCTGTGAACATAATTATGAATTTGAAAATCCAAGAGTATTTTCATACTATATTCCTGACTGCAAAGCATTCATTTGGAATGATTACTACTTCAAGGATTACTCATTAGTAATCATTTGGAATGATTACTAATCATTCATTTGGAATGATTACTACTACTACTTCAAGAAGAAGCTCATTTTAAAACCATCTTTCCAAGTTTCTGTTTAAAAATCTCACCTTCTCCGTGTATGTTGAATTTCCACATATTGCTGAGTCCAGTCGTACAAATGAAAGTCAATGGATATGCTCGAGTTAAATATTCAAGAATAGTGATAGAGAAAATCTAATTATGGCCCCATCTACAGGACAGCAGGCTTTTAAGGCACTTGCCATTTGACAAAGAATATGTTCTCATCACTTCATCAATTACAGAGTCCGTGCTACAGGCAGTCCTAAAACTGAGCTTCTTTTGAGCATTTAAAACAGGCGGGAGCAGGTTTGCCAATACCTTTAATTCTGTCCAAAATGCATTAGGCTCCTTCTGAATATTAGCTTAATGATCTAGAATGGCAAAACTGCTAATGGAGCAGAACATGCAAGGTGCTCTTGAGGAAGTTAATAAAATGTTCTTAAATGTCTTATCAGGTCTATCTTTTCCCTCACTGGAGCAATTCCTGAAGACAGGCACTTATGTTTGCTTTGAATCTTTCATCTTTTCAATTTATGCATAGCAAAAAAATAACTAGATGAATGATAGTTTGCCTGAAGTTACTTAATCTTTCAAAATATCATTAATCAGTACGTATAAGAAATCTTTTCAGTTCAGAGAGCAAAGAGGCAAGCATTGCTCAAAAACAGCTTAATCTGTAGGCAGGTGTCAGGAGATGCTTTCAAGGTCGTTTCCCTGCCTGTCTGAGAAAACAACAACTGAGATGTAATGTGATGTGAAAAATGAGAAGCCATTTCAAAATGGGAAAAGTTGCAAAGAAGTAAATATTTTTTTATTTCTCCCTGCCTATTTTGAAGCCAATATATATAGTAATAATGCTTGGTTAAATATAAAGATTTATAGAGAAAGGTTAATGAGGAGTTGTATTTAAGTATAACTAAACCATTACCCTGTGAAATTGCAGGGTTAAAGACTATTGCCAGTACATCATAATGGTGAATCTAAGAGTGTAATTGCTAGAAAAGCAGAGCCATCCTGAGAGTTCTCATAGAAATGCTGTTTTGCAGTAGGTATCCCTAAAGTGTGCTGCTTTCAGCTGTCACGGATGCTTTGGCTCACCAGCTAGTGAGTGCCATCCCAAGGAGCATTTCTGCTACTGCTGCATGTTCATTAAAAGAAGTGATTTAAAAGCTGAAGAGAAGACATTCTCAAATGTCAGAATCAAATTAATAAAAGTCAGACTCAAATTAATAAAACTAAGATCCAATCACAGCTTTTAAAGGCAAGTTCCCTTTCCCTTTCCAGCCTGTTTGGAAAGTGGCTACCTGATCAGTCAATTTACAAGTCTCAGATATACAATAGATTTCCAAGAAATAAATAACTAACATACCTGTAATTATTTCTAGCACCACTTTATCTTGAAATGTCCATTCTTTGGAAGGAACTAAAAGATTTGCTCCTAAATTTTGTTCTTATAGCCATAAACTACTCAATTCCAGTACATCTATGCACAGTGACCAAATGGGTAATAGGAATCATGCTTTGTTTAAGATCCATATTAAGCTTAACATGACCACTCTGACTTGAATATATTGCACCAAGTCCCTTCTTCTTCTGAAAAGTAGTGTTCCTTTGTCCTTCATCTAGATTTTCAGGAAAAAAATTATAGGCTGTGATAGTGCAAGACATCCCTCTCTATGAACTAGTCAGAGTCACAGTAGTAATTTCAACTTTCCTGGACAAAGTAGCAAACTTGCATGTTTAAGGAAGTATGAAAATATGGTTCCCTCACCTTTTTATGCTCCTACATAAATAAAAATTTCTGAAGTCACAACTATCCTTTTTCAGCATGACTGTCACAGCAAACGCTGTTATTTAAGGTATAATTAGCTGTCACTTCTATGCAGCTCATATTGTTTGTAGATATGTATGAATGATTAAGCAGATGTTTAAAGATAAGGTTATCTAAAGGTGTATGAAACACTCTGGAATAAAGACCTGTATTAATTAGACAAAAATTGATGCAACTAAATTAAGTGAAGGCATTTCTACCTTCCATTTCTATTTGAATGGTTTGTTTATGTTGTGTGGTTTTTGTTTATTTTTTTAGAGGACAACAATGGATGGTCTCTGCAATTTGATAAACATTATACAAAGGACAAATACAATAAACTGAAATCTCTGTTTGCATTTCAGACAAAGACACCTGAGTGCTGTAAGTAATTACAGATATTATTTGAGTGATTTTTAATGATGATTCCTAGAAATAAATACAAAGTAAATATATGCTTAGCAGGAAATTTACTGCTGTTTCACATATAGTAAAACATAATTAATATCTCAAATGAATGTTAATTTGAAGCTAATTTCAGTTCCACTAAGGTTGATTCATTTTCTGCAAGAGAAGTGTCAAACATATTTTAATTAGCATATGCAAATTAGGAAGGCAATATAAATGTTTATCTAAATATGCTGATACTGCTGGAGCCACCATGGAACTGGCATATATTTCAGATTGAAATGAAGGCAACATTGCTCCCAGTTCACTTCTTTGTACATCAAATGAAATTTGCAAATGCCCTCCACTTATTCAGGTCTTTGTATAGACTTTTTGATTCTGCTGTCTACTATGATGAGCAAAGACTCCCTGATCCATTTTTGACCCATTTTCACCCATAGAATTGTACTCCTTCTAGTTATAAGAGTGCTGAATAATCTAAATATATGTTGCAAAAATCCCATGCCAGTTTCCTGTATATCATGCCTAAGGTTCAAGAGCTTTTACAAGCTCTTTCATAGAGTTAATATAATTTTTTGTGTCCCTTTACATTTATTGTTAGATTACTCCCAGGTCTAAATCGATTTTGTAAAAACATGTCCCTTAATTGTATTAAAAAGATCCTTCTATGTCTGTTATGTTCTTTTATACCGTATTTCTTTTCTCCACGTCCCATCACACCACACATCTTTTGCCCTGACCATGTTCTTGTTCTCCTGGAGTGGCTGGTGATGTGCCAGCAGAGTGTACCTGCCAAGGGCTGGAGGTCTTCTGTGATGCTGCCAAATTACGTGCTGTCCCATCAGTCTCTGCAAACATAACCATAATGTAAGTAGAGAATTAACCTGGTCTCTTGCTCTGCTTAGGTTTGACTGTCAATCCTGCAACTTTTTCACAACTACAGACTTATTATCAGCTGATGCTTGGGAAGCATTATGTCTCTCTGTTGACAAGTACTTTAATATTTTAACTCCAGATTTTTCTTACATAAAAGGGGAAAGAAAAAACTAAGAAACCAAAAAAAATCTGTGAACTGATCATTTCATGTTTGTAACAGTGACTTGAGCTAAAGTTTCAGTATATCTAAGGAAATCTACAAAAGAAATGCTTCCTTTTAAGACACAATACTTAGAACCTGTTTCTTATTCTTTGATCCTGCCAATATTCCTAGTCTGTGTTCCTGTCTATAAAGTCAATAACCTTGAACTTGGTGGAACACCCTGCTGGAGCAAATCTATTTAGTTCTCATTTGATGTCTCTGAATATGCTGTTATTTCAAAGGATTGATTTAATGTGGGCCGAGTCATCATGAAGATATGTATGTGTAAGCCAAACGTTTTAAGAGACCAGAATATTGTTGATGTGCACTTGATTTGCACATTGGTGTTTGAGAGTCAGTTTTAGGTGTGATGAGCAGGGAGCAGCATCCCATGTCCTTACTTGAGGATCTCTCCTGTAGATCCGGGTCATGGATCTTTCCTTTTGGTACCAGTCTGTGCTCACACATGGCTAAAGTTCTCCTTGTTGGGTCCACGTTCAAATACTGCAAAACTTCATAATGAAAACTGATTTGGAATGTCAAACATCTGTTTAAACTGGCTTCTGTCTTAGGGTCTAAAAAGAGTTCAAAAATCCTGACCCAGTTCTAGCTGTAGAAAAAGCAGTGAGTTGGTTCAGCTGGCTTTCAGGCTAAATTCTCGTCTAATCGAACCATGTCCTGAAGGAATTTTATTCTTGACAGGACACTTGAGTATCCCCAATGGAGATGGGAGATAGGGACACATGCACTGGGAAATACACTCTACATGCATTTGAAGTTTGAAACAAATCTATAGTTTATATTCAGATCTCTTTAATTCTTAGATCTGATTATCATTTTGTCAGTTTTTCTTGGGAACATGTAACTTTTTTTTATTATGATGTACTTTTCTTACTGTTTAAATAGATACAAGCATACAGAAAAACAGAAGTAGCATGTTCAGATGGTTTCATGTTGCTTTTGTTATTTAGCAGTGTGAGAGCTGCCCTTATTAAATAGCAAAAGCACTGCAAGAACCTGGGACAGTAGTTTTACTGTATGCATTCATTCCTACAGGTCTCTTCAGAAGAATCTGCTAAGGAAACTTTCTGCTGATGTTTTCAAGAAATACCAAGATCTTAAAAATCTGTAAGGGAGTGCTATAACATAAAATACCTATCTAGTGCCTTATATACATCCTTTCTTTCCCCCATATGTACACACACAGAGTTTAACATTTACTTAACAAAAGTCCAGTTTGTCTCGCCCTTTAATACCTCATGTGTACATTGTTTGGTTCAAGTATCTTGATTTGACATCTGTCTTTTTTGCAAAAAACATAAATTCTGCACATTTAGTGGTTTTTATTTATATATTTATTCTGGACATTTAATGGTTTCATCCAGAAAAATACTAATTTTTAATTTTGTCTGAAGGATGTTACATTTATAATAAGCATTAATATGCCAAAATGAATTAAAGTAAGTTAATCAACTTATTCTGGAAAAAAGGTTTGGAAACTCAAACTTCTCATTATCATAGGAAGCTCATTCCTATGGCACATGGTTTTACTCCTAATTATGTCTGGTGCTGATTTGATAATGCTCAGCAAGTCAAATTATTATATGTGTTATGTTTCCAGTGTGTAACATACATGCTGTTCAAAAATCATAGCCTTTAACAAGTTTTCTTTATATAGAAGTAGTGAAATAAAAATTAAATGTGGGAGTCTAGAGTAGAGCTTCTGTGTAACCGATTCAAAGTGTTCTTTCATGGGAACTGTGCTACACTGCAGCACCATCTTGTGTTCTGAAAGTTAAGTCCCATTATGTCCCTTAAATTCCTGAAAGGTAAGTTTTCACTAAAAGAAATAAATCCATACCTATCTGTAGAAAACGTTTGTTTCTAATATCAACTTCACACTCTTCTGATAGATAATTTCACATTTTCCAAAAGGTCTTGAGCAGTGTTAAACAGAAACCCAGTCTGTAAAAGCCAATGTCTGATTTCTTACTGCTTTCTAGCAGGAATGCATCTAGATGCTTCATTAGGTGGAATTTGATTTAAAGGACTTATGTTTAAATATTATTAATAGAATAATATTATAATGTCTTAGAATTATTTGAAAAATACTTGGCATTTGCAGTTGATACTTTTTAATTCATTACTTCATCAAAGTAGATAAAGATATCCAGAAATTTAGAAAATAGTATCTTTAGTTTACAGAAGATTAATAAAATTTGCTGTATATTTTTAAATATATTATCTTACAAATGCAGTCTTTTGGGAATTTTCTGGTACCACTGAAAAAAAATTCAAGAATTATTTGAATTTTACATTAACTTTTCGAAATTTTGGTTGTAGCAGAGATCTGGGTAAACATAGAGATCAGGTCACATTAGGTTCTAACCACTAGGTTAGGACCTAATCAAAGAAGTTGCAAACAATCACTCATCTTTGGCAAAGCAAGCATCCATGGGAATGATTTTTGTAATTTTGCTCTGTGTGAATTTCTTTTAAAAAAAACCTTGCAATCTTTGCAGCTGTAGCTGTGAAATGGTTATTGTCAAATTCAAGGTGAAAAAAATAAAACAGCTTCTTTTAAAGTGTCAATGTCAAATGTGCATTCAGTTTACCTGATAGATTTTAATTGGTTACTTATGTTTGCTTTAACTTTGCTTGTTTAGAGAAAAAATTATTTTGGGTTTGTATCTTCTTAGGTATCTTCAGAATAATAAAATCAGAGCTGTATCTGAACGCGCTTTCAAAGGTTTATATAACTTGACAAAACTGTAAGTATTGCTTTTAGAATACTGAAGTAAAAAGAAGCAGGCAGAGCTCTGAGACTCTTTATTTGATTTCATATTAAGAACTTGCAAAGTGGTCCAAAACTTAAATTCAGCGATTGAATTGAGAAAGCAAAGACAGATTAAGAGGTCTCTGTGCAAGTTTTTCTGGCAGGACAGTATTTTGAAAAGACAAGCTGGCTCCATACTTCAATCCTATTTCCCAAATCCTCAGAATGGAAGAAGGAGACAGTATGGTAGTTACCCTGCAAAGAGCCAAAGAGAATGAAGGAGTAAAATCAAAGTGAGAGCTTGTGGTGGATGAAAATTCTTTAACACGGTGTTTTGGTTTACAAATGCAATTCAAAGTAACCAGTATAGACGACGAAAGGAACACTTTTTTCTTTATTTTGCAGCAACTTTTTGAAAGGTGTTTCTAACTTTTAAGGGAAATGCTCAGTGAAAAAGACAACACATAAATTGCACTGTTTGGTTCAAAATTTTTACTGCAGTGTATTAAAAAAAAGTTTTAAAAAGTTATGCTTCTTATTCTTTCCATCACACAAGTCTGGTTGATTATCTGTTATTACAGCTGCTGCTATTATCTTCCCAGATCATGTATAGTACCCCTCCCCATTCCTTTTCAGCCTTTCTTTTTCCATTATTCTGGTATCTACATTTATGACTAATATCCTTAGCAAAGACTGAACGGGATCCTGGGAACTTTCATGGAAGAAATCACTCCACAGAAGGAAACTGGAAAGAGTCTAAAATATGACACAGTGAAAATATTTAGCTGACTGCTTTCTTAGAGATATGACAAAGTGCTGTATATAATTGCTCTTAAAATTCTCATTAGAGAGGGTCCTGCCTTGCTCTCAAACAATTGCATGAAAATTACCATAGTAAAAAAAAATATTAACAAAATAGGAGTATTCTGGTAAATTAACAAGGAAAAATAATCCTAAAGCTCATTTTCATGTGTCTGCTGCTTAATTCCATTCATTCAACTTTGGTTGGTCTTGTTTTAGATACCTGAGCAACAACAAGATAACGAATTTGGAGCCTTTTGTCTTTGCAGACCTCCACAGACTTGAATGGCTGTATGTTGTTTTCTTATTTGTATATTTATTTACTCAATAATTAATTAATTAATATAAATATTTTGATTGCTTTCATTTTTGTGCAGAGCATTACCTTACACTAGTTAATAGCTAAGGAACTCCTGTTATACTGTGCAAGGTAAAAATGCAATTGGCTTTGGTGAGAGCAGAGAATAGTTCTTGAGCCTTAATAGCTTCAATGACTGATGACTTATAACAATAGTAAACAATGTTTCTTAGTAATTGCTTGTTTCAAATTAATATATTAAATAGCCGAGGCACAATAAAACAGAATACGGATATTTTTTAGACAGGTCTTTTCCTGTAAATAGTGTTTAAGATGTCCATACAAAATTACTGTCATAACCTGAAATATTGGCTTATTACTGCTTCCAAAGATATTTTGACTAAGTTACTAAAAATAAGCAAATAATATGTCTTACATTCTTCTGCAAGTTTGGGGCTGTTGGATTGCCACACAATACTGTTAGGTTGTGCTACTTTGCTTTTACAGAGAATCCATTCAAAGTGTCTTGATCAAAGGATTTAAAAGCCTTAAAGGAAAACACTTTTTCTAAGTTGAAAGAACTTATTTTTTTCTAAGTTACTTATTTTTAATTAAATTTTTCTGAAAGGAAATTAATCCAATTAATATCTTAACCTGTCAAGGAAGAGTGTGTTAATTTTTTTAAGTCGTTTGACTAGACTTTTGAAGAAATTCACTATAAAGCTTGTTACTTTTTATTATCTCTTCAATTTAAGACTGAAATCAATCTGGTACATATTTTGCTGTAATTTATAGGATAATTGAAAACAACAGGATAAATCGGATCTATCCATTAACATTCTATGGACTCAAATCTCTTATTCTTCTGTAAGTATGAAACAAGATAAAAAAGGTGTTATTTAAAAGAACAGAATGGGAGGGGCATGAGCATATAAAAACCTTTTTACACCAACTGTGCTTGCTCAACCCAGAGTGCTGGCAGTAACGCTGCAGCTTTCCATTACCCCAGGCAAAATGTGCTAGAATAGGAGGATTTTGGCAGCTGTGGACACGCAGTGTCTGGAAAAGTATAGGGAGAAGAGTGGGGAAAATAATAAATGACATCAATGAGAGGGCAGGGTCGAGGCAGCTGCAGCACTGGGTTCCAGGTGTCCTCCAGAGTGATGGTAGGACAGGAGAGGTCCCACAGTCCCTGACCCTGGTGGCAGCCTGACCCTCCTCCCCAAGACCCTGTCTATGATCTGCCACTGCCCTCTCCAGCCTAAAAGATGAGGGATCCTCTTCCCCTGCATCCCAGAGGGAAACTTCCCTCCACATCCCACTTCCTCCATCACCCACAGAAGTTGCACATTCTCACTGAATAGTAGATTTGTATTGGATTGTTAAATTTCATTTTAATAGCTGTGGAGTGAACATCTTTCCTTTACCTGGTCATTAGCAAGCTAAGGATAAAATATTGCTGCACAGAATGCCACAGGGAAAATATGTGGAAATTGAAGAAAATAATGCTACTCTCAAAACTATGCAAGATTGGAATGATTTTTTCTTTTTTTTTTTTTTTTTTTTTTTAGGGAGATGATGAATAATTCTCTTGCTCGTCTGCCTGATAAACCTCTGTGCCAATATATGCCAAGATTAAAATGGCTGTAAGTCTACCTTATTTCATTGGAAAAATATTGTTTTGTTGTCATTGTATGGCATTTCCACACCACTTTTTCTTATGGGATGCTGGATCTTGCAGAGTGCCTGCTGGGTCACTGCAGGGCTGATGGCAGTTAAGTGTGCAGAAGTATTACATGTTTGCCTCCCACTATCTCCTGTGTAGTCAAGTTCTGGTAGTATTTTTCTTCAATTACCTTAGAATAAGTGCCTGAGTTTATTTTCAATGACTAATGGGGTTCTTTTATATCTCAGAGACCTTGAAGGCAACCATATCCACCATGTGAAAAATGCCACTTTCATCTCCTGCAGCACTCTAACAGTACTGTAAGTAATTGGATATGCTAGCTAGCCAGAGTGAGATGTGCTTATACTGAACAGTCAAGTGATTCATTACAGCTAATATAAAAGTTTCCTCAGTATTATGGTTATTTATCTCTTGAGTATATGAAATTAAAATTATTGATTTGAAGTGAGCACCCCACAGAATATCCATTTTTTTATATTTTACAGCAAAATTCAGCATTGAAATATGTAACTAGATTTCACTGAAGATACTTTGGCTGATACTAAGATTTAGAAATTTTCATTATAATCTTTTTATTGGAGTAAAAGATCTCATAATGCAAACATACAAAAGACATATCTTGTTGCTTATTTTGATTGGCTGGTGGGTTGACTGACTCATCAGTTTTAGAATTTTCTCCAAAGTTTCTTCAGTGATGATGTAACTATCTTCAGAACATCCCTTCTACTTTTTGGTAGATCAGTAGGCTCCATGGTGTGTGTCACTTTCAATTTTTAACTCTTCTGCAGTACCCATGTTCTTGGCTTTCTCGTAGTTTTTAAAATCCAGGTACTTAATTTAGGAATAAGCTCAGTGGCAGATGAAATAAGAGTGAATGAAACGTTGCACAGCCATGTACCTGTGTCTGAGACATGACTAGGTCACAAGCCTTCTGGCCCACTTAATCTTCCTCCTGCCCTCAGTCAACTTACACCAGCCTTCCATGGATATGTGTGTGTATGCAGAAGTACATGCCAGTATGGGATGTATGGGCGAAAAAAGTTATTTGTCAAATGATAAAATGGTAAACTTTAGATGCAATTACCTTGTTAACTGAATTGGGCAAATATTTGAAGATGCAGAGAACAGAGAACTTTGAAAGTTTATAAAACCTTGCCTTCAAAATCAAATAGACACCAAGAAGAAGCAACGTAAGTTTTTTTATTCTTTCAGGGTGATGAGACGAAATAAAATTAGCTCCCTAAATGAAAACAGCTTCTCTTCTCTCCAAATGTTAGATGAATTGTGAGTAGATTTCTTCTCTTATTTGTCCAAGTCACACAGTTTTGTGATTTATATTAGAAATACCATTCATCATAAATTTTATTTCATATAACATGCTCTGGAGATGGTATCCTTCCTTAGGGTATTTTTTAAAAATATGTATTGAACAGGAAAGAAATAATCAATAAAATACATCATTTGTATCAATCATATTGGGGCTTTTCTCACATTATGTTCCCTGAATAGAATAATATTAATTATCCTTTTATCACTACAATCTAGGTGCATACATGCCTTCACTATCTTTTAGATCAGTTTGACAGTTTTTTTTTCTTTATTCTTCTATTATTAGGATTTTCTTTCTTAGTGAAAGTAAGGTGAAAAGTAGAGATTAAAAAGCAGAGTAAAGATGTGCTGTTTAGCCTATGAGGAAGAACATCATGAAACAATATTAATAAAGTTAATTAATTAAGTTAATTAATTATTTAACTTGTAAGCTTTTACAAGTCAAATTAATGGTATTTTACTTTCTTTTTGATGGAAATAAAATAACAATGAATTATGTATCTAATGGTATGTCTGAACTAATCAGACAGAAAGATCTGATAGATCTAGCGTCTTGCCTTGTTTTAACACCGTTCTTTAATAGTCCAGATTTTAGATAACCTATAGAATAAATAATATCTTATTTAGCAAATAAAATTGTGTATATTGAAACTGCAAAACTATTCAGTAAAATTACTGTGTACTGTAACTTCTGTTTCTGCAGAGATTTGGCTAGCAACAAGATTGAATCGCTTCCTCCATATATATTTAAGGAACTAAAGGAGCTTTCACAACTGTAAGGATCCTTTTTTTTAATTATGCATAACTGTATATTCCTCATTTGATATGATGCTTTCAGTCATACGTGTCAGGAAAGAGAATAGCACTTTTGTTTGAATGCATCATTTAAGCTCTGCCTAAAAAACATACCAAAAGCAATTCTATATAGCATTTTGTCCAGAATAATTCTGTAAAAGGTGTGCATTTTCATGTCCCAAAAGACAGCATGTTCAAATTCTCCCTTTTTCTAGATCTTGTTAGTACATACGAGATGCTAGATACATCATGAGAAATTAATAATTCCATGGGAACGCTTAACATATCAAGATTTAACTGTAAAAGTAGGTTGACTTTGTTTTTACAACAAGCTGTAAGGAATGTGGCCAAAGATACTTTTGTTGTATTTACAGGAACCTTTCTTACAACCCCATCAAGAAAATACAAATAGACCAGTTTGATTTTCTAATTAAACTCAAATCCCTGTAAGTATCGAGTTTTTATATTTTAGCTATATTTTCTTTGTGATAATGCACATCTCCCTCAGTAGGACATGATCCAGAATATGTTTTGTAAGAAGTTGCCCCTGATAAGTTTAGGGAAAGTTTTTGCAAGTGCTCTAACACAGCAGCTCTAACTCGAATTCTGCCAGCAGAGCTCCTCTTAAAACTCTGAGGTAGTGCAGCAACAATCTTGCAAATCTGCAGCAGATTTAAGTATATCTTCACAGGTCACTTCACATCTGAAGTAACCAGCTTGGTGTATAGCACAGCATTAGTTCTTGTCAGGCATCACTTCAAAATCATACAATAGTTTGTTTTGGAAGCGACCCTTAAAAGCCCTCTAGTTCAACACCCCTGCAATGAGCAGAACACCTTCGAGTAGATCAGGTTGCTCAGAGCTCTGTCCAGCCAGACCAGGAATGTTCCCAGGGATGGGATATCTACCACCTCTTTAGTCCACCTATTCCATTTTTTCACCTCCTTTTTAGAAAAAATTTATTCCTAATATCTAGTCTAAATCTACCATTTGTTAGTTTAAAACTATTACCCATTGCCCTATTGCAACATGTCACCAAATGACACAGAGAGAGAGACACTCACACTCACTGACTCCGAGCAACCAAGCAGGAAAAGAACCACTTTATTTACATTTCATGTCTATTTATAGAATTCCAATAATGACCATGGATTGGCCAGTGAGGATAATACCTCCTGACCCCATAGGTCCCATCAACAGTCCATCAATTCTCTCTTCTTCCAAACAGGAATGCAAAACATTCTTTATTTACAAGAACAGAGTGTGAGAAACTGCAAGAAAATATCTGTCAACAATCAGAAAGCTGAACCCAAGGGTAACAGCAACAGGCCCTACTAAAGATGGTTGTGGAAATTAAAAACCAGATGTTTTCTTGGACAGAAGTGCAGTAGGAGTTTATGATTTGACCTGATATAATTATGTGTGAGCTGTAGCCAGCAGTACACATACCTTTGTTTATCAAACCAGCTTCCTCACAGTTATTGGAATCCCCTGGTCAAATTCAACTAAATTCGGTAAATGGCTAATGAACTGAAAATACTAAACCTGTGTAAGTGTCATGAAAATAAGCAGTTGAGCACAGAAAATCATAACTAATTACCTCCTTAACAGCCAAGCTACAGCATAATTTTATCATTTTATCTATTATTAACACCAAAGAACTCATAAAACTCAGTGATCATGCCCTTCCACGTTTTTTAGTTTAAAAAACTGTTAAATCTTGAGATAGATCAAGAGGGAACTGTATTTTGGCAGTTTGTAGAACACCAGTTCCCTCTTCATCTGTTTGAAATAGTAAAAATAATTGGGGAAAGCACTCCCTAGGATTCATTGCAGCACTTAAATAAAAGTAGTACACTTCCATGTTGGGGCTTTCTCATGTCTGCCAGCAGAACTGCCCACCAACCCACATCAACTAACCAGTAAGTCTGTACTTTTCTCCAATTTTGCCTAAATGTGTTCAGAACTCACATGAATATTACATTCAAATCTTTGAACAATAAATCCAAATAAGGCTCCTCACAAGGAGAGCCAAAGACCTCTGACCAGGGATGGACTGAAGGATACAGAACCAGAAGTTCTAAAATAACTTCTTACAGTTAAACTTTATTGATCTAGCACTGCAGGGGAGAAGATATTGCTGCATTCATATATTTGTGTATATACACACACACACACACACACACACACACATATATATATATAAAATTTAAAATAAGGAATCCTACCTGTGTGTCACCAAAAAAGCCAGCATTTTTTCTTACATGCTGTGTTCTGTGTCCCACTTCCTGTTGGTTTTGACATAATGAAGACTGAGTTCTTGGGTTGGTTTGTTTGTCCAGTAAAGCACTCCCTGGGATAAAAGAGAGAAGATATGTGCAAAAGTGTTACTACTAGAACAAGTTATTATTTCCCCAGAGATGATGAAAGAACATCAGTAGAATAGTACTTTGAAAGGGTGACATATTAAAGAAACATTCATGAATTCTCATGACTGAGACCAGCACTAAGAATTTTCTTCATGAATCTGGAAGAACAGTGAGTTTAATAAAATTATTTGCAATTCCTTTTTGTTCCACTTCAGATTTTACACAGACTTTTTGGTCAAGTTTCAATGGGTTGAAACTTGATTACATGCAATTAAAGTTCTTCTCTAGTTTCCTATAATCATAGAATCACAAGTAAATGCTCATAAAATTTGGTTTTTCACTACTGAGTTTCTATGAGAAACTATTCTGTATTCTGTTTTACTGAGAAAAATATTTTTACAGCAGCTTGGAGGGCATTGAAATTGCAAACATCCAGAGGAGAATGTTCAGACCTCTGAGAAACCTTTCCCATATGTAAGTAGGTTATTTTTTTTGAAAGTTTTCTTTCTTTGGCCTGAATTTTACAATTATGGAATACTGGATAATTGAAAGCAAAGGTGTATGAATGGCAGCATGTGAGCAGTTGTCGAATTTTGACAATTTTTGATTTATTTTTCTTCTTTCAGAATATAATGTCTGGACAGTTACTAGATAGTTTTAACATTCTGACAACCAATCTAGAATGATCTCTCATCTGTTTCTCACAACCAGATATTTTAAGAAATTCCAGTACTGTGGGTACGCTCCTCATGTGCGCAGCTGCAAACCCAACACTGATGGGATTTCCTCCCTCGAGAATCTTTTAGCTAGCATCATACAGAGAGTGTTTGTCTGGGTTGTATCTGCCATTACCTGCTTTGGAAACATTTTTGTTATCTGCATGAGGCCTTACATCAGATCAGAGAACAAGCTGCATGCCATCTCCATAGTATCTCTCTGCTGTGAGTACTGCATATCTAGAATATATTTTTAGTCTGCTTGTAGAGTGTATATTTGTTATTATAGTATAGTGACATATTTCCAGCATTGGATTAACTCTACTTTTGTGATGTTGCAAATGAAAACACAAAATGCTGTGGCTTATATACCAGGAGGTCTCATTAAATTTGGCAGCCGGGACATTCCAAAGATTTCATGTTCGATTTTCATGCTGTGGGGATTCTGTCAAATTCCCAAGTTCTTCAGCAAGAAGAAATAAAATTCCAATTTTCAAATGCCCACAAACCTATATTTTACTATGCATTTCTCAGTAAGTATCGATTTCTGCATGTAATTATTGTGTTCAAATATTCTATTATTTGCACAAACAAAAGGCTGTTTATGCAAATAGAGAAAATTGATCTATCCTAGCTCCCCAATATTAGGAATTGGGGTAGGTTTTTCTTTTTAATTTTAGTCCTAAAAGCAAGACAAGTTTATGGATGAATTGTATGGCAGTACAATCACTACAGTCCTGAGTCTCTCAGTGTAGGAGAGTCTATCTAAAGATTGCACAAATGCAATTAGATGCATTTTGAAAGGTGGTTGTCAACATTTTATAAAATTATTGCAACATTTCTAAATACAAGTCAGTGATTTTGAAACTTTGTTTTTTCCATAGAAACAATCTGAATACTATGCAAAATTTTCAGCAAAATACCCAAGAACGCTGCAGTTCTGTGTTGACAGGTCATCTCCCCTTACCAGTCTTAGAAGACTATCCACATGAGTTTTGAACTAGCATAAGGTGGAAAAGAAAAACTTTGAATCCAGCAGAGATGGCCTACTCCAAGAAAATTATCTTAAGCCAAATGTTAATATAGAAATAAATAAAGAAATAACACCTAATAAAAAAGGGTTGTGAGAATATTTCTATAAATAAAGCTATGTATTTTTCTGTTTACAAACCAATTTTACCAGAGCTTTAAAAAATGGAAACAAGTATGAAACACAGACTGTCAGTCCAAAGGGAAAGGAAAACAAAAAAGGAAAAATTAATATAAAATTATACTGCATTAATTGTAATTCATAGTAGTATTCCAGATGTAATACTGATTTTATAGCTATGTATTAGCTAACTTGTAAGGAGATACTTTTATATATATATGTGTGTGTGTGTGTGTGTGTGTGTGTGTGTGTGTGTGTTTTCCAATATACATATACAGAGAGAATGGGAAATTCAGATGTGTAAATAATGATGTTAAGCACTGTGCCCACAGGTGCTGACTGTCTGATGGGAATATATTTATTTGTGATTGGAGCTTTTGATCTTAAATATCGTGGAGAATACAACAAGCACGCTCAATTGTGGATGGACAGTATTCACTGTCAATTGGTTGGATCGCTGGCTATTCTGTCTACAGAGGTGTCAGTCTTACTGTTGACTTATCTGACTTTGGAAAAATACATCTGCATAGTTTATCCTTTTAGGTGTTTGAAGCCCAGAAAATGCAGGACAATTTCCATTTTGGTTCTTATTTGGATAATCGGGTTTGCTGTTGCTTTTATCCCACTGAGCAATAAGGAATTTTTCAGGAACTACTATGGCACCAACGGCGTCTGTTTTCCTCTTCACTCAGAGCAATCAGAAAGTTCAGGAAGTCAGATTTACTCTGTTGTGATTTTCTTAGGTAAGTTGCATTTCTTCTTTATGTATTACTAGAGCTTCAAAGGAACCAAGTTTTCAAACAAATAAGATAGCTGTGATGTTCACACCTCCTTGGATTTAGATGCCCCAGCAAGAATTTAAAGACTATTTCAAATATAAATACTTTATTGTTTTAGATGTGTACCTACTTACCTTAAAATGCATGAAGGGCTGAGAAAGTAGAAAGAAAATATTGGCCCTTGTGTTCTTGAATTAATAGACTATGTTAGGGAAGTAGAGCAATGATAAGGCCAAAGAACTATTTAGTTTTAATCAGATGGCAGTCGTTTGCCAGTTATCAGTGGATAAAATGAATACCTGAGTAGAGGAAAAATTCAGTCTTCAGATGAAGACAGACTCAGACTTTCTGGCCACTTAATTCCATGGGACTAGCAGTTTAGATAAAATATTCTTCTTTATTACCCAAGCTGCGAGTAGGTGATGTAGAATTGCATTATGATTTTAAAGTATAATTAATTTTTACTTTTAAACAGGTGTAAACTTGGCAGCTTTTATCATCATTGTGTTTTCCTATGGGAGTATGTTCTACAGTGTTCACCAGACAGCTATTATGGCTACTGAAATTCGGAATCATATTAAAAAAGAGATGATCCTTGCAAAACGTTTTTTCTTCATTGTATTTACTGACGCACTGTGTTGGATACCTATTTTTATTTTGAAACTCCTTTCTTTACTACAAGTAGAAATACCAGGTATGTCCTTTCTTTTATGAGGCTGTTTCAACAGTGCCTGCATGAAGTGTTTCTTCTACTTCAGAAGAAAAATAATATAATGAGATGAACTATATTGCTGCAATTAACTTCATGTTCTATATCTATATATATGCACATACAATACAATGAACTATATAGTTGCTATTTAATTGAACTGTATTACTATAATCATGAAAGATTAGCCACCTTTGAGTTACATAAAGAACTCCAAAATTCAAATCATTAAAGTCTGTTTGCATGTAATATCTATAAAGTGTGTAAAATATATTTAAAAATCAAGGCTGAGTTGCATTGGTATTTCTTGTCTTAGGACTTTTGCTGGTTCTATTGCCTAAATTTCTCAGGACAATATAGTGTTGTCTATCTTGATTTAATAATGTAACTTATTCTGAAATAACTTTATTTTACAAGCTGGTATTTATAGTTCAACTCATTAAGTTACATAAAGCTCTGTTTATCTTCTTCATGCTGTGACTATATTCCCATGTAAAAACAGAGTAACCTAAAAGACTAAAATTGCACCTTATTTTTTTTCCTTCTCTTTGCAATATCAGTAGATGCCAGAAAAAAGCCTCTTTGTGTGGGGCTTGTAAACCCTATTAGAAAGGACAGGTGAGCATGAATGGAACAATCAGCAACAGCAGATTCAGACTCAGTGTACAGATGTATGTCACAATATTACATTGGCAAGAAAATATTTTAGCTCAGACAATTTTGCCTTATGTGCTGACCAGGAGGATTGGGAGTTGAGACTTTCAAAGTTTGGATTTGCATCTCAAATGTCTGGAAGTTATGCTGATTATGTAAAATATTCAGTTATTTTAAATCTTTTAAAACTCTTCTTCAAGAAGCTATCAAACCACCTATGATATTTTTGAAGAAAATATTGTGAAAAGTAGAAGCAGGTGTATTATAAGTCAAGAAACCTTGAAGAAATGTTGCTGAATCATAAGGTACTCTTGGGTTCAGCAAATTAATGTTCTGTGATAGATGAACCAGATTAAAGAGTAATTACGCATTTCACCAAATTGAAGACATGACAGCTAGCTTGTCCGAATTGACACAAATTGTAAATCTCGTTTGATAGCATTTACTTTTTGTTGGTGATACATTGTGACAGTTTTAGAACTAAGCACCTGCTTGGATCCAAAACTGTAGCCAACGTGATGGGCATCAACAGCAATGTCTTGATACTGTGACAAAGTTGGAAAACTGGAGAGGGGCATGGAGGGGTGTCCCTGAAGGAGGGAGTCGATTAAGTGTTTTGCGCCTCTTGGAGCAGTTCTAAAACAGTTTCTTAAGTCAAACAATGCAACGGAAGGCACCCACTGACATCTTTCAGCACTTTAATCCTGTCCCTTCACCACGTGCCCCTCAGACAACTTATCTCCCAAACAGTAAAGGATGAGAAAGGAATGCTGTAAAAATGAACAGACTGACATAGGCAGACAATGAACACAGAAACTCTTACCAACAGGAAAAGGAAATTAGGAGGATGTATACAATGTTCTTTTTCAGGGAGAGGAATGGAGAAGTCCTGGTGCAGAAGAGAAAAACAGGCTCTGAGGGGATACGGGGAATGGAGGATAGTTTTGCAGGAGGACAGAACATTAGGGGCATCATCAGGTCTGCACGTCATTAGTCCTGTAAAGAGTATGGGGAACAGAGATCACAGGAAGAGATAGGAGCAAAACAGAGACAAAAGGTTTTGGGGCAAGAAAAAGGGGCTCAGCCAGAACAAGAAGTATGTCAGGACAAATAGGAAGCTATGGCATAGAAAAGCAGGATAATTGGGACTACTGGGAGAATAATAAATGTCAGCTTTTGCAGGGAGTGCTGGAAACAGAGGGAGATAAGAAGTAGTGCAAGTGTAACAGAAGAAGAAAAATAAAAGCACCTGTTGTGCCAGGAGCTCAGCCTAAGAGCACATGACCTCCCTCTCTCACCAGGAAGCTGTGCTGCATTGGCACCAAGTGCTTATGCTAACTAAAGAATGCAAACACTGGAATGCACATTACAGATGCCTTTCTTTTTCCCTCACTAAGGTACCATAACTTCTTGGGTGGTGATTTTTATACTGCCAATAAACAGTGCTTTGAATCCTCTTCTCTACACTTTGACTACACGACCTTTCAAAGAAATGATCCATCAGGTTTGGTACAACTACAGACAAAGAAGATCCAAAAGAGGTAAAGGCAGCCAGAAACCATATGGTCCATCATTCATTTGGGTAGAGATGTGGCCAATGCATGAAACCACGCCAAAGGTTACAAAGCCTGTGCTTTGTACAGACTCTTCTGATGCTTCAGTGACTACGCAGTCCACAAGACTAAATTCATACACGTAATTACGTTTTGAATCCTCACGGTGACATCGGCACTGTTAGCTTCACATCCGTGGGCTTGCTGCTTTACAGCCATGAGGACACTGAGGAAGGTGTGACATCAGGGCTCACGTGAACCACTGCGGGAAGAAGAGGGAGCCATTTGTCTGTTTGCAGGTAGAACTGGCATTTTACCATCTCACAGCAGTACCTGACATTTTGACAATTCATCCCAGATCTGAATGAGAAATCAGTTGTTTGGGGCTTTTTTCTTCCAGAAACCGAGGGTGTGGGGAAAAAAATGAATTGTCATTTGAAACATCTCACTCGGAAAAGCAGATAGTTTCAAAATCATCTATTTATGGGGAAGTGTGTATGTGTGTGTATGTGTGTGTATTTTCTTTTTTCTTTTTCTTTTTTTAAGTTCCCATTTCACCAGCTGACTTTTTTAAGAGTTAATTTGTTTCTTTATTAAGAAATTTATTTTTCTCCTCAAAGATTCTGACTGGCTCTATTTAGGCTGCATCATCTCTTAAAAAGCTTTAAGGAGCAATAGCTGTAAGAAAAACATTTAAATTTCATAATTAGGTCAGTTGACTATATTTGTCAAAGGCAGACAAGTGAAAATTATATTCCTTTTACAGCTGTACAGACTATTTCACTCATGTAAAGGTAATAGTGAAATTGTAATGATAGTTCTAATAGAGTCGCCAGGTTGGACAAGGCCTTGATCAGTCTGGTCTACTGGGAGGTGTCCCTGCCCATAGCAGGGAGAGACTGGGACTAGATGATCTTTAAGATTCTAATTCAGGCAGAACCAGAACTGTGGTGAAGAAAAAAATTAAAAGGAGAAGTTTGTTTTGGTTTGGTTTTGTTTTTTTTCCCAAGTGAATCTGCCCCAGCTTTAACTGGTGGCAGTTTCCCCCTTCTTACACTGAAAAGACTGGACTAAGTATCCCAGCATCTTGCTGCTGCTCTTTTCCTCATTTTTCTTAACAGGCTACCAAAAGTAGCTGACCATAGCTTGCAGACTTCAACAAATTCCAGTCTTAAGATGTTTCTCCATGTACAAGGAAGATGGTCAAACAGAAAATTATCAGTATTAATAGGTGTAATGATATCTACATTTTAGATATCCAGTCATGACTGGATGCATTATAGTTAAAGTAATTTAAAGACCACAGCCACAGCACTTTTTGAAGCATTATTTTACTTCCCAGAATTACAAGGGTAAAATAAAAAATATCCCATCTGAAACAATCCCTTAGGGGCAGTTCCTTCACACATTCTTACTGAAGAGAATCTTTTCTATTATGAATTATTACAACTTCCCTTCTTCTTTCAGTACCGTATTCAGTCTGATGGCCTAGAAGCCCAAAAAGGTAAAAAAAAAGCTTTCTTTTTGCATTGATTTGAAACTATTTAAAATTAAGTTAAAAGATATTTCCAATGTTTGCATTTAACTTCTTAACAGTATAAGAAGTAGAATTTTGAAAAAGTGTGACTCACACTTCAACTGTTTACAGAACTTTGGACTATCTTGAAACTGAAGATTGTTAAGCATCTTGTTTCCACTACTGTATGTTCTACTGAAATAAAATATTATTTGCTGAACAAAATATTGCTTTTCTAAGCTGTTTTGCAACATTTTGGGTTGTGGGGGTTAAAAACACCTAAGCAAAATGCTGCCACGTGGATTGCTTTTAACTAGGACAATTAGACAGATTCAACAGAACTTCCTCTGAGGGGCCAAGCCCTATCAAGGACTGTAATCGCCTTTGGTGAGATATGCAAGGATCCCTGACCTTGCCATTACTTGTTTTTCACTACATGTGATTGTGACTATATTCACTGTCACCTTCGTTTCTATCAGTAACACAATAATAGTCGATACTTCAGAATATTTGCAATATCTTTATTGCTTTGATAAGCAAACTACAGTGGGTCTTTCTTAAAATCCTGTAAGTAAAAATAAGGCCTGCTAAGAAGTCATGGCAGAGTCATGGTTTCCAGCAGCTTACCATTGCATCTCAGCATATTTTTTTCCACAGTGCCTGGTAAAGGTACAGGAGTCTCAGGACAGCTATTTATTACAGACTAGCCATCTTTCAGACCAAAAGGTTCTATTAACAGTAAGCTCTAGACCATCAAACTAGCCACTGTTTAAGGCAAACATAAAAAATAGAATTAAATACTGAAAAAGCTCTGAAGTGCTTCCCCAGTGATGGGAGAATACATGTAACAGAGTGTTTTCTAACTAATGGAAGCTTTTACTTACAGTTCAAAATAATCCATCCTGTCAGTAAACAATGCTGGTAAACTTTTACCCTGCAGGAATATATGGTCCATCATAAGGCACTTTATTACAACAAAAGGTAGGGTAAAATTGTTTGCAGTAATACAATATCTTGCAAAAAATAATCTGCAGCTTTACAGAAGAGTAAAAATTGCTAAAAATAGTAAGGTTTGGGATGTAGGATTTTTCTACAGCTCATAAATTATCCCATACTCAATGTGACAAAAAAGTGTGTGTAACAAAAGACTGAAGTTAGTTGAAGTTTCTCTGGGGTTGGCAGGGTTTCTGCTGTTGACAGCTCTTAAAAAGAAAGGCTGACAATTCCTCCTCATAGGACATCACTTCCCTACCAGTAATGAGGTCTGAACGTAGCACACATACTAACTGTGAATCTACCACGTTAGAACGAAAGAAAGGAGTGTTGAGATCGCTTGAGCTTCTACGAAGAACCTGAAAGTTAAAGCTGAATCCCTAAACAAAGTTTTTCTGTTCGGTAGACTAACATAAAACATCCATATGAGAGCCCTCAAGTATTTGTGAAAGAAAGCTGGGGGGAAACAAAACTCCACGTGAGCTGCCTAAAGGAGGCGGTCGAAAAGAGCCCCGCCGCAGTCCGGGCCGAGCGGGCGGCTCGGCGGGCAGGGCCAGCGTCAGCCGCTGGGCTTCAGGGACTCGTAGCCCTCCCTCAGCAGGTCCCGCCACGTCCTGAGGAACCGGGCGTTCTCGGAGCACTTGGTGGCCAGCTCCTCCACCTGGGCCGACACGGCCGACGTCGCCTCCAGGATCTTCGCCAGCGAGAAGGCGGCCTGGAGGGACGGCAGAGAGGTTGGGGGTCGTCGGCGCCCGGCACCGTCCCCGAGGGGGCCCCGGAGCCGCCCGAGGGCAGCGCGCCGCACTCACATCGCCGATCTGCATCTCCACCTCCTCCAGCAGCTCCCGCGTGTCGCCGCCGGGCAGCTCCGGCGGCCCCGACTCCTCGCTCCCGCCGCGGACCCTCCGGGGCTCGGCGCCGGGCGATCCCTCTGGCGGCAGCGGATTCGCCTCGGCCATGTCCCGCTCGGCTCTCCCGCGCCGGGCGCGCCTTCCACCCGAGCACCGCCCACGGCACGCCCAGCCCCGCTCCCGCCGAGCGCCGCCCGGGCCGTGGAGGGGCTGGCAGCGGCCGCACCCACCGCCCCCAAGGGCGGCTCTGGGAGCTGTAGTCCTGCCGCCGGGACCGGACGGGACGGGGCGGACCCGAGCCGAGCAGCGGCCGGGCGCGCAGGCGCAGCGAGGCTGAGGCTGACGGGGAGTGCGCACGGCGGTTGCGGGAAGCGGAGAGTGCCCGTGGGCCGCTGCGATGGTGCTCTACTGCTGCCCGTCCGCCGGCCGAGGTAACGCGCCGGGCCCAGCTGGAGGGCCCGGGGCTGGGGCTGCGGCCCGGGCTGAGCTGGCCCGGGCTCGGCCGGGGCGGCCGCTCGGTGTGGCGTGTGGGGCCGGCGGCTGGCGCGGCGCCGAGGCGGAGCAAAGGTCGCGGCTGGGTCGTGCCGGTGTCCGGGCGGACGCCGGGCCGGAGCGGGGCCGGCGGGCGGGGACCCTGTGGCTGCCCCTGCCCGGGGCCTCTGTGCGCCCGGAGGCGGGAGGACAGCGCTGTGCGTGAGCGCTGCCCGCGCCCCAGCTCTGTGCTACTGACCTGGGTTATTCACCTGCAGCGGCGTGCGTAGAAAGACGGGCGGGTGTTTTGAGCGACGCTGGGTGTCACCTGCTTTATGGGGTGAAATAAAGCAGTGGAACGAGTGTCCTTACTTGGGAAGTGGCAGTGGAGACAGCATCCCGACAGCTGTTACTAAAGGGCTGCCGCAAAGTTTCTCCTTGGGGATTGCCTGGCTCGGACAGGCGTTTCCCATCTCTTTCCGAGTCCGTGAGCTGTCAAGAGTGTCGTGGCCCAGGCACTGTGCTCTTGCTGGGGAAGAATCTGCCTGTCCAGCGTTTGCACCCGCCTCTGTTCTTATCAGACGTGTTCGGAGCAGATTTTCACTTATTTTGCATATGTACAAAATAACTGTTGTTTTGGTTTTTTTTTTAATATGCTGTGTGATTCTTAGTAGCATAAATTATGGTCAAATAAAACAAATCCTGAAAGTTAAAGTTTTATAATATATATGTATGGATGTAGTTGTTATCAACCTTATAGAGTACTTGTTCTCAGATCCTGCCTGGTTGCAAGGAAGGGATAACTAAGAATCTTGAGGTGATATAATAGCTTTTATGTTATGTTGGTTAGGTACAGAATTCCTGTTAAGGAGCCAATGTGGATAATACTTGCTACCTTGCATATGGAGACCTCTGTCCTAAGTGTCACCTGGCAAGGTTATGACACAGGATGCTTGTGCTGGCCTTGCCAATTGCCATTCTCTACTAAACATTTCAGTCATAGCATGCTGGTGACTTAATTTATGTAGTTTTACAGAAATACTCCACTTTAAATATGGTATTCTTCTTCTTCATCGCTGAAAATAGAAAAATTTTTAAGGAAGGAAAAGTTATTAGTCAAGGTTCACAGACCTTTTAACTATGACTAGTTTTCATACTAACCACACTAGGGTTTTTATTGCAAATCACACACATTTATTATTTATTTCTTAAAGAGGAAAATGATGACATGTAATAGTCCTCTGAAAAGAGTCCTAGTTTGATAATTTAAAAGTTTATTTTTCGTCCCTTTGCTTACAAAGAAATTCTCATTTGTTCTTGCAACAATTACTGTATCTGCAGCAAAGATGAAGGTTACCTCTATCTACTATTCTATCTTTGGCTAAGCACACTTGGGTTCAGGTCTGTGCTTTTACTCTAGACCATGGCATGTACTTTAGATGAACTGTCTTGTGTTAGTAGCCCAAGCTGTGTGTCTCAACATGTGTTGAGATGTCAGAGCTAAACTTGCATGTCCTGTTTCTACCGTTTTTTAATGGTAGTCTGAAATTTAATGCAGTCTGAAATAAACCTTTTGAAGTTCAAAATTAAATCAGACCTTAAAGTTTCACCTGCATATATGTGTATTATCATATGTCAGCTGTGCATGGCTGGCCTGTGAAGCTTCTTTTTTTGTGGTTTTCCCTGAAAAAAAATTACACGGCATCCACCTAACTTGAAAATTTTAAAATCTGTGTTTATTGTTCCTCATCTTCATGTTACCTGGTAGCCTTTGGGAGGGGGAAGCTGCCATATTTGTTGTGCTATTTGCATCTCTGAAATTTTGAAAAATTTGGAAAACTGCTGATTTAACAAAATTGTTTCTGGTTTTTGCAGCACGTCAGTGCTTTCATGCTCTAAAGTTGATAAAGAAAGATTGCCTTCTATCACTGCGTGTCTCACGATGTGCCTCTACTGCCTCTGTGCCTCGCATAACTACACATTACACAATTCATCCTCGGGACAAAGACAAACGATGGGAAGGTAAAAACATTGCATTCTTTAAAAGCTGCTTCATTATTATTGTCATTGCTGAGTTTTAAAGACACTAAAATGTGTCTTTATTTTTTTCTCTTTATAGAAATTCTCTACACTTAAATATAGTACTAATATTTCAAATGAAATTTTTGCTTGCTATCTCACAAGTGTCTTTAGTGCTATAAAATAGTATCAGAAGAAACTTTATGCTTGTTTTCATAAAGAAAATATGCAAGCAGCTTTCGGTTTAGTGATTATCATAACAAGATTCAGTTCTGTTCAGAATGTATCTGCTTGGTTTTTTCAGTTGTTCTTACCATGAGGGTTTAGCTTTAGTGAGAGAGAGGTTGGAAGAAATTGGAGATTGGCTTATGTTATTACCATTTTTTTCTATTGAAGGGGTAAACATGGAAAGATTTGCAGAGGAAGCTGATGTTGTCATTGTTGGAGCAGGCCCTGCAGGCCTTTCTGCAGCCATTCGACTCAAACAGTTGGCTGCTGAGCACAGCAAAGAAGTGCGTGTTTGCCTCGTGGAAAAGGCTTCTCAGATTGGTGCACATACATTGTCTGGTGCTTGTCTTGAGCCAAGGTCCTTAGAAGAACTTTTTCCAGACTGGAAAGAGCGAGGGGTATGTATGAGCATGTAAACGCCGAATATTTACTAGATTATAACGAACTTCATATCTGACTCATTCTGGTATGAGTTAGTATCTGGTACCATTAGTAATTAGTATTATTTTAAAATACATTGATGGAACAAAACAAAAGTGAGTACCTTCTTTTTAGTCTTTTTCCTGTAGTTCAGCAATGCTAAAAGTTTTCTGTCTACACAGATATGCTGTGGCCTTTGCTCTTTTCTGTAGTAGTCCTACTGCATATACACAGTATGTCTGGTGCAGCCTGGAGTGCCCTGCACTTGCTGCCTTTGTGCAAAATCCAGCTCCTCTGTACAAGCAGGAAGATAAGGTTTGGCACCATACCGATGATAGACTTGCTGGGTCTGTACAATAGCTCTTCATGCAGATAGCACAGAGTACACTGACTTCGGTGCAGACACTGTGGTGTAGCAAAGGCCTAAGATGATTTTAGGAGGGAGGTCCCAGAGCAGCTATCTGACTTGCAGCCAGCTGCCTGCTATCACCTGAGCTGCAAGAAGTTAGCCGTCAGCTCTTTGCCTTATGGTGCTAAGTCTGCTAGTTGCCTTCTTTAGAAAGGTCTACAATATTGATGTAGTACAAGCCTATGTACAATAGATGTTGTTTTCAAAACTATTTTTTTAGCATCAGTAGCTGTGTTGATTCTTGCCTGATGACTGCCTCATAAAGTACTTTATCTTCTCTCTTGCGTTACTTTCTTATAGAAGTGCTATACTAAACCTGTACTTGACTATTTGATTGTTTAATTTTTTTGTTTCTGTTGGATTGGCTAAGAAAACATAATTCTCTACTTCTTCTATTTTATTTTTTGTAGGCTCCACTTAATACTCCTGTAACTGAAGACAAGTTTGGAATTTTAACAGAGACATCTAGAATTCCAGTGCCAATTCTTCCAGGTAAAGTTTAGTGAGGGAGAAGAGAGTCAGCTTCCTCTGTGTCTTTTTTAACTCCTCCATTAATCAAAACAAGTTTGATTTCGTGCAGTGCAGCAAGTGTATGTAGAATATAATAGGTTACAGTGATACACTCTGTGTAGGTGATGGCTCTGATAACACGTGAGATTACCTTGAAGATAGTAGCTGTAGGTGTGACATCTGCTGTATACAGCTTTGGTTATTTTCCTTAGTATCTGATGTTTTATATGTGTGTGTCTTCTTTTGCCTAGGACTTCCGATGGTTAATCATGGAAATTACATAGTACGTCTTGGCCACCTTGTGAGCTGGCTAGGTGAACAAGCAGAAGCTTTGGGTGTTGAGATATATCCAGGCTATGCAGCAGCTGAGGTACTAATGACATCAGTGTATGTTTATGATAAGTGGCTTTGGAACCCCCTTCAGTGCAGTCATGATGACTTGTACATGCCCAACATTCCTTTTAACTGATACCTATTGTGAAAACTGTGTTTCTCTGTCTAAATTCCCTGGCTCAGATCCTCAAAGTGCAAGTGTATCGTACAGCATGTGAATAAATACATCATCTTCATGTTTGACCATTGAAGTCATACTGCTTAGAAGTTCTGCTTTAGAACTTTTAATGAATAGATTCAAAGTACAGTTTCATTACAACGGCTTTTGTTTGTTTAAATATTTCCATAGATACTTTTTCATGAAGATGGTAGCGTGAAAGGGATAGCAACTAATGATGTAGGCATTCAGAAGGATGGAGCACCTAAAGTAAGTATCTATCTTCCCCATAACTAGGGGTCTAATTGTGATACATGTGCTTCTGCTACCATCAGTAGTCTTGCTGCAGCATAAGAAAAGGTGTAAAATTCAGTACCTCTCCTCCCTCTCTATTTAATTTGATTGATTACCTGTGAAAGTTCTGGTCTCAGAACATTGTAAAATTTTTCTGAGATTAGTAGAAAAAAACCTTTCCAGAAAAGTTGTCATGAGGGAGATTATGTAAGGGTGTTTTGGCATATGTGAAATCTGGAAACAAGGGAAAGAACTCCAGGAACTCCT